TCGAAGCCCGTCGGTCTACTCTGGGTAACCGTGAGTTTGACCACAAACGAATGATGCTACGTAATGAAATCGGGCAAAGCTTGCGTAAGGACCGCGAAGCCTGGTGATCGGAGCGTGCCAAATGACTGGAAGCAGCAGCTGCATCTGGTAACTACCGAGAGCACTTCCAACTCATCCGAGCCACTGGCAGAAAGAAGTCTGTTGTGAGCGAAACAATCTGTGAGGATAACGGGATGCCCATCACTAATATCCATCGACGTCTTGGGCGATGGGAGGAATTATTCGAAGGGCAGTTCAACTGAGCTGCTGCTCCGGCAACATCGATCGGACTGTCCTGCCCTCCATGGCCGGTGACGACTGATCCACTAAATTAGGCGGAAGTCCTCAAGGAACTCCAGCTCCTAAAACGCTACAAATCACCTGGCCCAGATGACTTACCTCCGGCTCTTTTTAAAGATGGTGGTGACTTTCTGACTAAGGAATTGACGACGTTATTTACAAAGGTTTGGGAACTAGAGAGTGTACCAACGTCATGGAATGAGTCGATAGTTGTCCCTATCTTTAAAAAGGGTTCACGTTGTTCCTGTAACAACTATCGGGGGATAAGTCTACTTTCGATTGCATTCAAGCTATTGGGTTCCGTCATATTTCGTAGGTTGTTCAAAACGTGAGAAAGATTGACTCGCGAGAAGCAGACTGGCTTTCGTTCCAATCGAGGATGTATTGATCATATCTTCACCCTCCGCCAAATGTTAGAACACCGTCATATTTATCAAAGGCCAACAATCATAGTGTTTCTTGACGTTAGTGCTGCCTTCGATTCGTTGGACATTATTTATGTGTTCAATTAAATAAATAATAAACTTTGGTAACCTCAGGCAGAGTGAGGGCACACAACCACCTCTCTCCATTGTTCCATTCGAGCAGTGAGGTTAGACAGGGTTGCCCAATCTCACCGTTCCTCTTCAACTTTGCCATTGATGACATTCTGGAAACAGCTCTGATGGATGTAAGTAATGATGGTGTGGATCTGTTGCCTGGAGAAAGACTTCTCGACCTTGAGTATGCGGATGATTGGAAAAAGCGGAGAGGTGGTCAGTGTATGACATGGTGTCGTGGTATGAAAGAAAGCTGCAAAGGGATGGCTTGTGTTGGTCCTTCACGACTCCCTGGTCAGGGTCCTAGAGATGGCGCAATACAGTGTCTAGAGAATTTATCAGATATGGCTCAGAATAGAAGCCAGTGGCGATCCTGAAGTAATCTCTTACTTTCATCCTAAAAAATGGTTGTTTCTTCCTAGCCTGAAAGATTTCTACTAATTATATCTTTCCGTTTCCCCCATTATTATTACACTACCATACACTGATCTGTTTGTTGTTTTTTTCTCTTTGAATTCTCATTGTTTTTTGTGGCGCATATATATTTGGTGCCCTTTTGTACCAATATTTGTGTTCAAATAATAATAAATAAATAATCACTTACATCCATGGTCGTCTTGGACGATATTTGTGTTCAAATAAAATATATAATAAAAAATATGATGTCGGGCAATGAGTGATGGTGACTAAAGTTGAAATTGACAATGTCTTCGAAATCATATTTGAAGTTTTGTTATCAGTCATATGATTATCTGATGTTATTCTAAATATTGTTTTAATACTACTGTTACAATTTCCTCTTATTACGACCCAGCTATTCCTATCGCTTAGTATTCTTGGACACCAATTCACAAGACAAGTCCCCAAATCAGAACACAGTTGAGCAGGAGAGGAATTATATTCCAAATAACTGTGTTAGGTGGAAGTAAGAAGGACAATAAGAACGTTAGTACATTTATAGTTTTTACATGAGGAGATTCCAGATTGTTCTCCCAGTATAGACTAGCACTGATTGGTCAAGAATTAGCCAATTAGCATGCACCAACTCAGTCGTGCATGGAACGTGCTTTGACCCAATCTATGTCCCGCTAACAACTACATACCTGACATGACTTCACATTTGTTACTTTCGATAAAAAACGATCGAAATTCAACCTGTTGTCTACCGTTTTTTATTGTAGTATTGCTGGTTTTACATTAAGCTCAGATTATTAATGAGCTGAACACTAGATCCCATTTTATCGAGTTACATAACTTCCCAACCGCCGATATTTTCAGGTGTAACCATGATTTTCAAAGATCAAAAAACCTTTTACTGCTTGAGTGATACTTTTACTGGTTAACATTTGTACACGCTAACCAGCCAAGATATAAACCCGCTATTTCGGCGAAACCACACACCACAGTGTATAGCTCAACAAAAAGAGACGGATAGACCAAAATCTATTCCGCATCAAAACTGAATTATCGACATATTTTAATAATTGTTTGCTTATTATTTTACTCAACATTAATTTATTGTTCAAATTTGGTCGATTCACAACTCATTAGTCCATAAATTGTCGTTGAAGACCAATCTTATATCTCAAGAATAAAGATATACTAACAAGGATAACTTTATTACTGAATTCCTCCCTGACAGACTGATAATTATTCTCTATCCGCAAAGTGGGAATTGGAAGGTTTGTATGACAACTGGTTTTCAGTTACACAATAATAGGCTTCAATTACATGTATAACGATTTAGCGTTTGGATGAACGAGCACTGGGTCTGAGCTTTGCAGTGGATATACATCTAGCTGATGAGCTAAAAGTAGAATAAAAAATGTCACAAATTATTTCCCTAATCACTATTGTATACATTTCGAACGCTCTTTACTTTTAGAGATTGATGACTTTTGGTGTATCTGAAATTTATGAACGTACTTTACACAAAAAATGAAAACAGCATCTCGTAATCGGGTGTTGACTACGTTCTTCATTCACAGTACATTTGTGAGAAGTGTGCTTTCGGTCCCACGAGACCGGACCAGTAGTCAATATGACATATAATGTTAGACTGTCATATAAAAAAGCTAATAATCTAATCTATTTTGGTTACATTCCCACGATTGAATAGTTTCGATTGTGATTATCTTATGTGAATTAGCCACCAGATAGTAACTGATGTGGTACTCATTTCAAATGTATTGTTCGCTGGAGGAATACAACTTTGGGAATAGACTATCAACACAGCTAAAGTAGTTATTTTGGTCATCGTAAAACGTATTGTATTGGAAAAACACAATCTGATTATGACCATCCGAAAATGTGAAGTTTAGTCAACAACATATGTGGAAAATACTCTTCTCCTTCATTGGTGGACTAAATTGAAGGACCATTGGTTGTTCTGTGAGGTCTATTCTTCATTATTGTTTAAAAATTTATACTATCTTGTATACAAAAAAGTGACCGTCTTTGCTCTTTAACAGTATATGCAGACATTTGCCTAGTGGTTTCATCTATTGGGATCATTTTGCTGGTCAATCCCATTAAAGATGTCTCCAAATACATGATGCACACTTGTTTTGTTTTAAGGAATAACAGTTTCGGGGTTGTAAGCAGCTTAAGAGAATTTATGAAAGTTTACGAATGTGAAGAACTGAACGAAGGTTTCATAGGTGAACCATCAATCCAGTTATCTTAAGATTTATCGAATTCGTTACATCGTCATCACAGTGATCATTCTACACCCATGTTAAGTTCGATCCGTAGTGTAATACTGAAGTAATTGATACACCTTTCAAGGTTTCATCAAGATTGCAGTGTCCCAACTAATATGAAACCTAGGATTGAGACATTTTGGACATTATTATCATATCAATCCATTTAGTCATAATTTGCCTGATATTTCAGATATCCGTATGTCATAGATCTAAATTCTTCTACAGACACTGTTCATGAACTTAATGCAGCATAGTTCGTCTTAATTTCTACAAGCTTTGCTGAATAATCTATGACCAGTTTGTTTGTGAAGTTCTAATTTCCGCAAGTATTCCCATTACAACATAATCGATGTTAGTATCCCACTTCATGTAGTTATTTCCCCTCAGTTCCAAATAAACGGTAAAGCGTAGAGCACTTTTACGTACTTAACTGTTTTTCACTTAGAAGAATGATATACACAACAAATCGCAGTAGTAATTTTCTCATGGCTTACTTCAGTAACTAGTCTTAGAAAACCAATATAACCTCAGGTCCTAGCGAACGACAGTCTCGTCCTAGGATGGGACTCTTCAGAGGAGTGGATCAACGATCCTAACTGAAACTGAACTCAAGAACTTCAGGTTTTGTGGAAGCCAGTCAGTAACAACGTGGAACTTCGTACGTACGTACATCAGTTCGACTTGCCATACCACATTAGCACAGAGATGCAGTTATCGATTGTAATCCCGTAGTGGTAGAGATAGTAAGAGCAGTAATCGAAAAGATTAGGGTTTGAAGATGTTATTCAAGGAGTATAATTCAGTGGAAAAAATTTGGAAAGAAAACAAAGGACATGAAGAATTCAGAAGATTAAAATTTGGGAATCCACAAAGAGTGGATGCACCTGCGCCATTGCAAACAATTTTGAGCTGTCATTCAAGGTCTCTAACCATCGGTTGGGATCGTCTCGCGGATCACAACCAGTTTTTGTGACAAGCGCCCAATCTTTGGAACGCAACTGGTATCCAGTCCTTCTTGAACCACTCAGTTATAAGCAACATATGTGCAAGTCTTTAAAATGCTAAATAAAACATACAATGAGATTTCAGAGCAGCAGTGGTTGTTTAACCACGACGGATCTCCGATGCAAACTATGAAGTTCGACAATATCGACGAACCCTACACGGTAATGACTAATTTTTTCAGCGTTGTTTAGCGAGGAATGGTCTTTCGATAGAATTACTATTCCTAGTTAGACTAACTGGGAAAGTAATTAGCTCAGGGCCGATTAACTCATAATTAGATGTACGTCGCATATTTTATCTTGTTTTTAAAAGAGGTGATCTTCGTCGATAACGTGTCTGATATGCAGTTAAATTGACCCGTCTTATTTTGGTCAAGCAGTACTATGGACTGGCAAGATCAATGAGATGAGATTTAATATTTAAAAAGCACTTTAATTTTCCTTAATGTTTCGGGTACGATCGTGACAAATTTTGTCAAATACACCAGCAAAAATAAATCAAATGTATAGAACTAGGTGTTCTGGTAAATGAATGTTATTGGACTTTGTATTACTGATGCAAATGTTAACATGAAGTTCTCGAAAACCCAGATTGTTTACTTATTATCAAATTAAGTAGTGTTATGAAGATAGACAAAATAAATAGCAGGGCTTCTGTATAATTCTTCTTACAAAATGTAAACTGGAAATACTGGGCAAGGAAATACAAACAAAAATCTTTACAATATTTCCGACTCAGCCTATCTAATGCCATAAGGTTAAACAGTCTTTTTCATATTTATATGCATTGAGATACGTGAGAAATAAATTAGAAGTGAGAATTAGGCTTTCGGTTCCCTCGGTATTTTATTCCACCAAGCATTCCAACATAATTGTAGCGGTAATAAATCATTATTGTATTTGGAATTAAAGCGTAAATCGAAATCTGCTGAATAACCTAAGAAATCCAAATATTTATTTATAGAGAGTAGAGGTAGTAAAAGCTTGGGCAAAACATTTTGTATTAAATCTTTTTGTTGCAAATCTTTTTCTTTCAACTTTGCTGAATTGAACGTTGTTGTTGAGAATGACTTCATTATTAATTCCGAGCTCAAATGGGAAACACGTTTGGCATGATAATGACCCAAAGAAGCAATGTCACATGTTAATTTTTTTATAGGTTTATCAGCTGTACCGGTCATCGAAGGATCATTACGTAGAAAACGAAGTACATGTTCTTGAGTTAAGTTATGCTGCGGATAGAAAAAACCACAAAATAACAAGTCTATTTGCTAAGTGATAGAAACAAAGTGGCATAAAGCTATTACATTACGTGGGCAACTATTGCGGCAAAGCTACTGCGCACATACCTCTGCCTTGGTCAATTCAGATACTTGGGCTGGAAGCATCATTATTCAGCACTCGAAAGCCTTGGTCTTATCGTTGTCTATAGTCAGTTAGTTAAGAGTTATGAAAAATTAACAGCGACCCAATTGTACAAAAAATACACAATAAATCAATATATTACTTCAGTCAGTCAGCTACAACGTAGGAACAGGCACATATACGCGTCGGCCCAAGTTGCCACATTTCATTAACACAACATGATGAACACCGGATTCATGGAAGTAGTTGTCTCAATGGTAGTTATATATAAAAGAAAGATTGTGTATAAAGATACAATACAAGAAGAAAGAATTAGTTCCTAGAAAGAAAGGTATAATGTAATTTTAATCTCACAGTTTAAGAGAGGACGAAGGTTGTACACACTGACGCCATTGTGATGGATCCTCAGCCATGCCACCAAGAGTCTCCAACCATTGGTTACGATAGTCTCATGGGCCCCAATCAAGTAGTCTTCATCTACCAACATGGCTAAGACCAGAAGTTAGCGACTTCAAGGACTGATGCCACGTTTTGGTTTGGCCGCCCCTAACTTTCTTCCAGTCATCCCCAACACTGGTCAGCATTGCGCGTCGTGATAATCGGTGTTCAAGCATACGCAACACGTGGCCCAACCATCTCAGTCGATTAAGATTTACAACCTCACCAACTGGTTTACTATCATTTCCTAATACCCTGCATCTAACCTCACTATTACTTACCTGGTAATCCCAGCAGATGTGAGCAATATTTCTACATCTGTGATCAAAGACTAGTAACTTACGAGTATCTTCTACTTTTAATGGCCACGTTTCGCAGCTGTAAAGTAGAACAGAACAAACTGCCGCGCAGTATATTCGTCCCTTAATTGGTAGAGGGATATCTTGCCTTCGCCATAGGTCACGTAAGCTGGCAAAAGCCAAATGAGCTTTTTGAATCCGTGAAGAGATTTATTCAGACACCCACCCATTAGAGCTGACCAGGGTCCTAAGATAAATGGGATCGTCCACACGTTCGACTATTCACTCCCTGTACTTAGCTCAAATGTCGAGGCAGGCCAGTCCTTAAACAAGAGCTTGCATTTAGAGGGGGAGAAACGTATTCCAAACAACCTAGCATTGTTGCTCAGTGCTACCAAAAGACCCTGGATTTTATCAACGTCTTCATCAAACGGGAATATGTTATTTGAGTATTCTAAGCCAGTAAGTGGACCTCCTGGAAGGGGGTCAATTCATAAAAATCCAGTCGACGAGGAAGTTATTTGCAGTAGTAGGTCTATAGTGAAATTAAACAGAAATGGATAGTGGACAGCCTTGTCGGACACTAATTGAGGTTGCAAAATCAGAAGACAGTTCGCAATAAGCTCTGACTCGACTTATAGTGTTCAAGTGAAGAGCCTTCACAAGGTCTATGTGCTTCTGAGGTACACCTTTCAAAGACAGTCACAGACCCTTTTGGTTTACAGAGTCAAATGCCGCTTTTAAGTCAGAGTAAGACAACACAATGAGTAATATAATTAATTAGAGTGCCTATACACAAGATTGGAATAACTTATTTGTCTTGAGAAAATCCTGTCCCAATTATCGACCTGAAGTTTGACTCAATAATAACGCTGAGTTATTACTTTTAGAAAATACTAGGTTTATCTAGAACCTTCAATTATGATTTAGAACTGAAGGACCATAAATGCTAATAACTTTCTTAAACGTAATCATGACTAGTAAAGTAGTTAACAGACTTATAAAAAATATTGATATGTTGTGGATATTTACATCATAAGATCTGGCAATCTTAATCATAGTGATAAACGAAACAGATGGAGAACACGAGGCATGTACTAAAACCCATCAACTTTTCCGAGGTATTAGAAGTAAAAAAGAATAAGTGACTATGCAGTTGGCTTTCTTCAAACAAACGTGGGAAATATACTTTCTTCAAAAATCCTTGGATCGCAATATAAAAGACACCAGAGCACGAACTCTTTGCCGGACAAAAAGCTTAACAAGAACAGGATGATCTAAAAGAACCCTGAAGTAGGAAGAATATTGTTATAACTTAATCCGATGATGGGTTTGTCATAACAACTACAAATAAGAATGACGACGTAAGGAGCAGCTTGAAAGTGTAAGTTTGCAAAAAAGTCACTAATCGAATTAACAGAACCTTAACTACACATCAGCGTAAGATAAATAAAAAGAGGAGACAGACGCATCTGTTTGACCGAGGTTTGCGATAGGTTGATATTACACAAACCAAATACTTTTAAAACCAGTTGTGTTAACTCCAGAAACTTTAAAGTGAAGTCTAACATGATAAATTATAAGGAAATCATATTATCTGATGAATAAATACTTCAGTAGGTCCTTTATTATGGTTTTCGTATGAGATTATGTATATTCAAACTTATAAAAACCAATCGGCGATGCGTTTCCGACATCGCATACTTGCCCACTTCAAACGAACCCAACATGTAGCAGGAAAATAGTTGAATAGTTCAAGCATTTTGGTTTCATTTATTAGGTCACAAGTTCGAATCCCACCCCACCTAATTTGATTTGATCAGCCAGGTAATATCACCAGTCCATATATAAACACCATGACTCAAATGTAAGTATATAAACTTGTCTGCGATAAAGGAAATCCAGAGAACAAGTGTTTCAATCAATATAGTTTGGTTTGGCCTTCTAGTTATTGTGTTAAGTTAACAACTACGAAGAGGACCAAACTATTGTTGGAGTTTGAATGATGCGTAACAGATTTTTGCATAGAATACCCAGTTTTTTATTCCCCAAAATGTGTTATGCACCCACGCCTATAAACAGTTTAGTAATTACATTTAAAATTAAGAATGCAAATATTCACCTTGTTGATGAACATACTTGATTTATTAAATCCAAAGGAAATAGTAGAACATTCTTATGTTGAGCTAATAAAACTGAACTACGTAACATATTCACCATCCCCTGAGCTCGTCCAAAGTGATTTAGTAATGGGTTTAATGAAGTCATTTCAAATCCTACTTGTTACAAGGTAAAATTGATGTATTTAGTCAAAGTATAAAGTGTGCACAATCATAACAATAAATGAATATTAAAAACAGTCACCTTATGATGATAATTGCATTCTATGAAGGATATAAAGTATTATAGAAAAACGAAGGAGGATATTTAATCAATAGGAAGAAAGCATTTGATCTAGGTTTCTTTGTAGTTGGTAACCATCATCATAGAGTATTCGCAGTCCTGGGGAAGTTGACACTTCCTGCATAGGATTCGAACTAGTGTTAGTGAAAAACATTACTAATCAACATGAGACTGACATCCTTTAGAATTGAGAAATTTGCAGTGACACAGTTGAGTATTAAGTAATATCATTCTTACCTAGTCCTTAGTGGTTATTGAATCCTAATGATCAAGCTGTAATGTAGCGATTGGCCAACTGATAAGTGTAGACAAAGAAACAATACATATAAGGTTCTATAACTTTCCAGAAAAGCTACATAGCAAAGTTTTTGAAAATTATGTGGTTGATTTTAAACGTAATATTAGCTACCAAAAGGTTTGGGAGGTCATTTGGAGCAAACAGATGTGAGTAAAACGTCGTTTTTACGGCTTGAATTTCAATTTTACTTCCAGAAACTTGTTGTTCTGACTGAGGGGTATAGATTTATCATTCAGTGACATTACATTCCAACGACTGATGATAGCTTTTCTATCTTGGAGCCATGCTTTAATGGTTGAAATGCGTGAAGCTAAACTTCTAGGTATCAGAATAATTCAATTACACCTACATTACTAGTACTAGGTAGTAGGTAGTAGTAGTAGTAGGCTTATAATCAAGTACACGGAACAGTCAATTGTAAAAGTCAGTGCAGGTAGACCAGTACTCAACAGAGTGGAGAAATCTAAAAAGTTGATACATGAATAATTAAACTTCTGTATGATGAGATACCTTTAATACTAGAAAAATCTAGGAATTTTATAGAACCAGTATAAGTCAAACTTGTATATAAAAAGTTTATGAGAGGAAATAAATATATATGGGAGCATGGAACTGTATAAGTTGAACATGTTTGCAAGAACATTTTTCCTTAAGCAAAATTGTTAGCGGGACATAGACTAAATTAAAGCATGCCCAATGCATGATTGTTTAGGTGCACGCTGATTGGCTGATTCTTATCTAATCAGCACTAGTCGATAGTCGGAGAATATTCTGGAATCTTCTTATGTAAAAAACTATAAATATACCGACGTTTTCCCCTATTGTGCTTCTGACTTGCTATTTGGAATATAATCTTTTTCCGGTTCAACCGTGTTTTGATTTGGGGACTTGTCGAGTGAATCGGTGTCCGAGAATACTAAGCAATAGGAATAGCTGGGTCATTAACCGTAAGAAAAACTGAGATTATAACAGTGGCGACGGGGAAAAAGGAAAACAAATTCAAGATGCCCATATCAGATGACCAACTTAACCGAATACTACAACAACAGCAAGCACAACTTGATGCACAAATGCGGTTGTTAGAGACCCTGACTCAACAGCTCAACATTCACAGCTCGGGTTCACATGCTATTTTAAGTACGTCTTGTGATGCAGTCGCTAGCAGCATCCCAGAATTCATCTATGATCCCGAAAGTGGAAATACTTTTCTCACGTGGTTCAAACGTTGGGAAGATACATTTAGAACAGAATTCTGTAACCAAGACGATGCGTGGAAGACCCGATTGTTGGTACGTAAGTTGGGAAGCAGTGAACATGCACGTTTTGCTGACCATATATTGCCAAAGTTACCTCGAGAGCTCAGTTTCGAGGAGACGGTATTTCAGTTGTCAGAGATATTCGGCGAGTCATCCTCGTTGTTTAGTATTCGATATCGGTGTCTAAATTTGGTGAAACGCGAAGCTGATGAATATGGTGTTCTAGCAGACATTGTCAACAGAGAATGTGAACGTTTCAAGTTACGCTCGTTGACGGATGACCAATTTAAATGCTTAATATTCATCAAAGCTCTTCAGTCACCACAAGATGCTGAGATCAGGACGAGACTTTTAGCTCGACTGGATCAAGACCCAAACGTCACACTCAGAACATTGACAGATGAGTGTAAGCGTCTACAAAGCATCAGACACGACAACGAGTTGATTGAACAGGTAAATCCTAATTTAACCTGCGGTAGTGTAAATACTATTACTAGGTTAAAAGTTCAGAAGCCGGTAACAACTCGTAACAAACCAAGGACTGTATGCTGGTTATGCGGTGATTGGCATTATGCACGATTCTGTCCATTCAAGAAGCATAAATGTCAGGAGTGCAACAAACGTGGACATAAAGAAGGTCATTGTTCACCGAAGCGTACGTCTCAGCCTAAGAAGAAGCATAAACGTCCTCGACATGTGAAATCAGCCGAGTCTAAATCTCTTTCTCTGGTAGCTGCTTTTCAAACAAACTATGACATTCGGAGAAAGTATGTTACCATCCAGATAAACGGCATATCAGCTCGTCTTCAAATTGACACGGCATCAGATATCACGTTAGTGTCTAGAGAAACATATAACTTGCTGGGTAAACCGCCAATGAAGCCATCTAAGAAAACGGCTAAAAACGCATCAGGTGGTGTGCTAAAACTGGTTGGTGAATTACAGTGTGAATTTTCCTTCAATGGAACTAACTGTACAGGAATATGTTACCTAACAGAACGGCCGAACCTTGATCTTCTTGGTCTAGATATGCTAGACAAACTTGGAATAATGGATATACTAATTAACAGTGTCTGTAACGTATCGTGTTCATCATTGGACACCCCATTACTTCCAAAGAAGACAGGTGAACGGTTACTAGAAAAACTGAAAAGAAAGTTTGCCTCTGTTTTTCAGAATAGCCTTGGCCACTGTACCAAGATGAAAGCGCACTTACCAGTGAAACCAGATGCCATACCTATTTTTCGCCCGAGACGTCCTGTGCCATATGCTGCTCTTGAGCTAGTCGACCAGGAACTTAATCGCTTGCAGCAGGCTGGTGTAATCCGACCAGTTAACTACTCTGCATGGGCCGCACCGATTGTAGTGATTAAGAAGGCCAATGGGACTATACGCATATGTGCCGATTTCTCGACCGGTTTAAATGCTGCATTAGATGTATATCAATATCCCTTACCAGTTCCGGAAGACCTGTTTGCCAAGCTTAATGGTGGGACATGTTTCGCGAAAATAGACTTCTCCGATGCTTATCTCCAAGTGGAAGTAGATGAAGATAGTAGAGAGCTTCTGACCATTAACACTCATCGAGGGTTATTTCAATACACCCGTCTACCATTTGGCATCAAGACCGCACCCGCCATCTTTCAGCAAATAATGGATACGATGCTAACAGGTATACCTGGTACAGCAGCTTATCTAGATGATATCATAGTTATGGGTTCAACTGACAGTGAACTTTCTGATCGACTACACCAAGTCCTTAACCGAGTGTTGGAGTATGGTTTCCAACGACGTGAGGAAAAATGTATCTTCTTCATGCATTCGATCAAATACCTTGGTTTTATCTTAGATAAGAACGGTCGCCGACCAGACCCTGCCAACATCGAAGCCATTCAGAAGATGCCTGCACCAACTGATGTTTCTTCATTAAGATCCTTCTTGGGGTTAATCAGTCATTACAGCACATTCTTGCCTGAAATGCATCGAGTGAGAGGTCCCCTAAATGAATTACTATCGAAAGATAAACCTTGGCAGTGGTCAGCAGAATGTCAAGCATCTTTTGACAGAGTCAAATCAATGCTCAGCTCAAAGATTCTTTTGACGCACTTCGATCCCAGCTTGAAAATTGTTGTTGCATCTGATGCCTCTAGTCATGGAGTTGGAGCAGTGATATCTCACGTGTTTCCAGATAAATCAGAAAAGACAATTGCCCATGCTGCTAGATCACTTACTCCAGCCGAGCGAAACTACAGCCAAATTGAAAAGGAAGCTCTTGCAATCATTTTCGCAGTCAAAAGATTTCATAAAATGCTCTATGGTCGTACATTTACTCTACTGACAGATCACAAACCTTTGATTGCAATCTTTGGTTCTAAGAAAGGAATCCCTGTCTATACGGCTAATAGACTACAGCGCTGGGCAACAATGCTCCTGAGTTATGATTTTAATATCAAGTATCAGTCGACAAATACTATCGGTCAAGCTGACGCTCTCTCCCGATTAATTGGAGTTCAACATCCTGGACCAGAGGATATAATCATTGCCTCCACAGCAGTAGACCCAGAAATACGAAGTATAGTGGCAGATGCCATTCGAAACACTCCAGTGTCGTCAGATGAAGTCAGGGAAGAAACGCTTCGAGACCCAACACTACAAGAAGTTAGAAAGTTCCACCTAGAAGGGTGGCCCTCGAAAATCTATTCCACAGACCTTCAACAGTTTTACCAGCGAAGACTCTCTCTTTCAATCATCGATGACTGTCTGCTGTTTGCCGAACGTGTCATAATTCCCAAGAAGCTACAACCAGCAGTGCTTGAACAATTGCATGCAGGACATCCTGGAATAAATCGCATGAAAGCACTAGCACGAAGTTATGTATACTGGCCGCATTTAGACACCCAACTGGAGCAGCTATCCCGTTCGTGTACCAAATGTGCATTAGCAACAAAAGCACCGCGAAAAGCAGAGCTGCAATCATGGCCAATACCACAGTCACCGTGGCAGCGTATACATTTGGACTTTGCTGGTCCACTTCATGGACAAACTTACCTTTTGGTGGTTGATACATATAGCAAGTGGCCAGAAATTTTTCTCATGGAACACCCGACTGCAAGCTGCACAGTCAGTAAACTACGTCAACTATTCAGTCGTTTTGGAATACCGGAATTGATAGTTAGTGACAACGGAACGCAGTTTACGTCCGAAATCTTCTCACAATTTTGTCGGCAGAACGGAATCCAGCACATCCGAACACCTCCATACCATCCCCAATCAAATGGCCAAGTGGAACGCTTTGTGAGTACATTTAAAAATGCTCTAAAAAAATCCAAAGAGGAAGGGACCACTGAAGATATCTTAGAGAGGTTCCTGTTTATTTATCGTTCTACACCGAACCCTCAGACAATTAACGGGCTCTCTCCAGCAGAAGCTCTACTTGGCAGAAAGATACGTACACATTTCGATGTCATCCGTCCTACGCCAGCTATTGAACCCCAACGAAACCTATCGATGGAGAATCAGTTTAACCGACATCATGGGGCACAAAGACGATTGTTCACGGTGGGACAAAAAGTGCTTGCTATGGACTATCGTGGGAAACATCCTACATGGACAGCTGGTCGGATCTTGAAAAAGAAGGGGAGTGTGGTTTACGAGGTGTCAGTTGGCTCGGAAGTTTGGGTACGCCATGCTAACCAATTGAAAGCAACCTCGATAGCCAGCAACAAGATTCAGTATCGATTACCTCTTGATGTTCTGCTAGATACCTTTGAAATCAAAACGCCGGGAATAGACACGTCAGTTTCTGTGCAAGAAAAGAGTGATACGTCTTTATTGCCTAGACGATGGACTAATCGAAAACACAGGCCAGTCACTCGGTTGCAGTTGGACCCTAGCACCAGATCCTACGAATCTGCTCAGAGGGGGGGGTGTTAGCGGGACATAGACTAAATTAAAGCATGCCCAATGCATGATTGTTTAGGTGCACGCTGATTGGCTGATTCTTATCTAATCAGCACTAGTCGATAGTCGGAGAATATTCTGGAATCTTCTTATGTAAAAAACTATAAATATACCGACGTTTTCCCCTATTGTGCTTCTGACTTGCTATTTGGAATATAATCTTTTTCCGGTTCAACCGTGTTTTGATTTGGGGACTTGTCGAGTGAATCGGTGTCCGAGAATACTAAGCAATAGGAATAGCTGGGTCATTAACCGTAAGAAAACAGAGTTTATAACAAAAATCCAAAGGTTCAGTACAATTTAGAACCAATCACTTACCGTAAGCCTCAGATAGTAGACAATGAATCGGGACATAGACATCATCAAAATACGCTTCAGCTGCTTTGCAAGTAGGAAAGAAAACATTATTGAAGTGCCGTTCCTGTTCAAGTAATTTATAAAATTCAAAACACTAATAAAAATGAATTCAAACCCTTGAATTGATGAGCTGATAGAAGCGTTGTTTTGATAATACCAGACCTGAAACTGACTAGTTATGAATAAAGGAAAAGTGATCAAGATGGTACTTCTTTGAGCTCCCGTTCGAGAGGAGTGTGGTGTGGTGACGAATCATTGGAGCTATCAAATAGATGTTCTATAATCTCCCTCCAAAACTGGAACCGGTATTTAGCTTGTGCCAGATTTTCCGATCGGTCACATATCTTAAGTGTAAAACCAAACAAGTTAATACAGAAGATATCAATACTTGAGCCAGTTCCACGTTGAAAGCTCTTAAGGCCAAAGCAAAGTTACGTCTTGAACCAGGTAGCAACAGTGAACACAGATAGTTTTCATAATCATACTTTCTAAAATCATAACGACAGAATTAACTGACATACTGAACAATACTGAGACAGTAAGGTTTTGTTTTGGCATTGACAAAGCGAATCCTGGAAGGATGAAGCATTCACATGAATAAACAAGCTGGATTAAAAACATGAAGTTGATTGCATAACTAAAATGTATATTTTGTCAGCAAAAATAACTATTCATTCTAAAAACATAACTGAATTAAAAAACGGAAAAACACAATTTTCTACTTTTAAGCGGGTATGAATACACTATCAAATAATTACAACACACTGGGACTGTCAGAAATTTGAACAGTTCTTTATATAATTAGACCGTAAAGATGCTCTTACGGCTTTTTACGGTACCTGATTTCGTAAAAAGACCACTTTGTATCAAGTACCGAGTTTAATATTGGTGAATGAGGTCATAATTTGGAATCCCTTAGAGTGGTTTATATCCGTCGAACATTCTATTGCACTACATGTGTTACTGTATTTCTATTGATCATTATGACTGCTAGCAAATTTTTCTTCTTTACCAGTAGTGTAACTTATCTAGTACTTCGACGTGTCTAGTCGGAGTCATTTACAGGAAACTAACTGCCGACATCGAGTACGATGGTCGTATGCTGGAAGGACTATCCCGCTCTACCCGTCTCGGTTTTACGCACATCCTGATTCTAGGGGACTTTAATCTCCCTAGAGTCAACTTCGCGGAACACACGTACACTGTAGGCGACAACTCAATTGAAGCTCGGTTCTTCAACCTCATCGATGACTTGGGTTTATTCGAAAATGTGAGGTCGGCAACTCGTTGGAGAAACAGTCAGACACCATCGCGCTTAGACTGTGTATTCACAAACGAAGAATTCCTAGTTGACAACCTCTCAATCCTGGCTCCTCTGGGAAAGAGCGATCATGCCGTCATAGCCTTTAGTTTTGTCATCAAAACTAAGCTAAGGTATCCCAACAATAACTTGTGTTAGAATTTTAAAAGGTTGAATGTGCCAGCTCTACACGACTACCTACAACAGGTGGTTTGGGATGTTCACCCTCAACTCGATGTGGACGGTCACTGGGACTTCTTACTGCACACGCTCTTACGTGCTACAAACCATTCAGTTCCTCAAACGGTTTCCAAAAGCTGCATGCCACCTACAGTAATCAAGAACCGTACCCTTCGCCTGCAAAGCCTCAAAAGGCACTGCTGGGTGGAATACAAACGAACTGATAACGACGGAGCGTATAGGCAATACAAACATAAAAGGAACATATGCACGAAGGCCCATAAGAGATGACAGGCTTCAGTACCAGACAAAGCTTATGGACAAATTTGCCTCTAACCCTAGAAGCCTATTCCGTTATGCAGCCTCTCTTCGTCAAGGCAAAACAAGAGTTTCTCAACTGCTAGGTCTTAACGGCCCGACTAACAACGATGGCGACGCTGCTAACCTTCTAGCGGCACATTACTCTCAAACATTTCAACCGGCTGACATCAACTTTACTGACGACAGTTTCATCTGCAATTCTACAGGACTTTCCGAAGTGGACCTAAGCGCTGACTTGGTGTTCCGGAAATTTCAGCACTTAAGACTAGATGCTTCTCCTGGCCCGGATATAGTTCATTCTTCCATACTGAGAGAGGCAGCCTTAATCCTGGCAACGCCGCTTAGCGTGATGTTTTCACACTCGCTAAGCCGAGGCAAATTACCGGAAGGTTGGAAGTTGGCTCACATCACACCAATTTTTAAAGGAAGTCGACGCAATGAACCTTCAAGTTATCGGCCGGTGGCTCTTCTGTCATTACCTTCAAAACTCATGGAGTCCCTGATATGCGACGGTTTAAACGACTATCTACTGTCCTTAAATTTCTTCTCACCCCAACAGCATGGTTTCAGGAAGGGTTACTCTTGTATTACCAACCTGCTGACTGCGGTGGACAGATGGACAAGCATCCTCGATCGCAAGGGGAAGGTTGATATCATTTACCTTGATTTCTCAAAAGCTTATGATAAGGTTAACCACTTGTGTCTTATCAATAAGCTCAAACGTCTAGGTATCAAACCACCTCTAATCGACTGGCTTACTTCATACCTAAAAAATCGACACTTTAAGGTTAGGGTTAATTTCACTTTATCTCAGGCTATGGAATGTCCTAGTGGGGTCCCCCAAGGCTCAGTACTAGGGCCTCTTCTCTTCTTGATCTACATAAGTGATCGTCCTCAACAGGTAACGTCAGACTTACTACTTTTTGCCGACGACGTAAAACTTTGGAGAGAGATACGCAACCAAGACGATATACAGGCATTTCAGGAGGATCTGACTCGACTTCAAAGTTGGGCAGACGATAACGGACTTACCTTTAACACTTCAAAGTGTAAAGTAGTTCATCTGCGACATGTCGCAAACTACAGTTACAACTTAGGAAACTCCTCTCTAGTAGTATCCTAAGTTGAAAAAGATTTAGGAGTCCTGGTGCCCCATGACTTAAAGTCTTACGCTAACTGTGACAAAAATGCCTTCCGAGCAAACCTTGCACTGGTAACGTTGAAGCGCATTTTTGGACAGTTTGACGGACGAACTTTCCGTACAATCTTCAATAGTTTCATCCGTCTCCATTTAGAGTACGGGAACATAGTACTCCCCCCTCACTCCAAAAAGACAAGGTCACTTTGGAGCGTATCCAACGGCGAGCCACGAAATCAGTTCGAGGACTCAAATCTAAGCCTTACGAAGAACGCCTCCGTTCACTAGACCTTTACCCACTAGAATATAGGCGTCTTAGAGGTGATTTATTAATGGCTTATAGTATTCTTAACACTTCTGGACATCCTCTTGAACACCTACTTAAGCTTAGTTCGAACAATAACCTAAGGGATAACACCCAGAAACTGGAAACACAACATAGCAAGACGGAATGTAGACACAACTTCTACTCCTTAAGAGTTGTCAAAAGCTGGAATTCGCTGCCGGCCGAGCTAGTCCAAGCGACTTCTCAGGAGTCCTTCAAGAGGCAACTTGACCTATTCTTAAGGACCAAGGACAGCATTACACTATGATTTACCAATTTCTTTTCCTCTTTTATTGTTAACATACCTAGGTTCCTGCCTGGAGGATTTGGTGATCCCCTGCTACTAGACACGGAAGCCTGTTAAGAGAAAGCTTCTATTCTGTCCACAACCATTTGAACCATTTGAACTTGACAAAATACAAATTTACCCTAGGTTTTACATTCGAGAGAATCAGCTAGGGACAAAGCACCTTGAGCATGTCACTTAAAAGGTTTCATAACAAGCTTAGTTTGTTGACACCAGAACCGGGGAAAAACACAGAGATACCCTACAACGTAACACTGTGAAATGATAGAAACTCATATTGATATACATCGGCTGCCAGAGAAGGGCTAGCTAGACGAAATCATAGAGAGCATGAAACAAGGTTGTTTGAAACGCTTTGCACGAGTCGCGATAAAACTACTGGTCCCACCGTGATAACTTATTTTATCAGGTATCTTATATTAAATGAGATTCTTTTGGGGAGGATGGAAGCAATAATGCAAATTAATCGTATAGAAGTGACATGTGCAGAGAGTGTTAGGATGATAGCTATACCGTAAAGTCCCTGTAACTAATAGTGAAGTCCGTATGCGATTTTTTAATGATACATAAGTAGTAACCAACATTTAATAAACTTGTAAGTACTGAAGCATGATTTGTAAATACTTCCAGTTTGTTTTTGTATACGAAAGCATAAATAAAAGGGAAATGTCGATTTTTCCACCTTACGTCGTGTATTTGGGGGATATTCGTCAACAATTATACGTAACATACGGTGTTTGAATATGCCGCATCCCGTACTTATGTTTTCATAAACGTCGACAAAATAATGCATCGCTTAATTAAAAAAACCAAACTATTTTCATAAACACCAGTAACAAAATACGAACACAGGGATTTGTCTGAGACACATATACGCTGACTTCGTTTTTTTGTTTAGCTAAATTGTTCCGACGTCCTTGGTAGCCATCACAAATAACTAACGTGATGCAAGTGAGTGGCATGCTCTCCGCTTTTCATGCCCATTATAAATAATTACCTTGTTAATCCAATACGATGAGTTCAATTAAAGTCACTGAGAGACCTCGTAGACGTAGGGCCACTATTAACTTGTCAAGCGTCCTTGGCTGTCATAGATCGACTTATAACAGACGGTGGAATAAAATACGAACAGCGTTCATGAAAAAACATGACTTGCTTCCGTTTAGTCAGTTTGCTAATGAAAGCAAAATCAAAAGTAACTGGCTTTAACAGTGGTGTATGTTTAATTGGTAGCATTGGAGAGAGAAATTAATTGTAATGAGAATCCTTCAACTGTTACACCATCCACTAGCTACAGCAAACAAAGCTTCTAGATAATAATGGTATGTATATGAAGCGAATACGTTATTGTATTTCTTATAGGATGTAATGACGTTAATTTATGCTCTCAAAAGTCCGTAAATCGTAAAGAGCATTTCAACAATGTATTGATGAAATTAATTACAAAAATCATTTTGAGCATCAGTGATGCTGATCGAATTCTGAATGATTTCCGAGATCTGATTTCGGACTTACCAAGGAGCATAAGATGTGTCCTGAGGACATGCACAAGTGTTCAACCAAATTTCATCAGCAGTTGGGTTTACTACCACCTCGTATTGAAAACCAATCTGCTAAGATATTTTTAACTCGGGTTGTTTACTTTTGGTTTTGATACTTTAAATTTTTATATTAATATAGATGGACTTTCTATGTCTGAGAGCTATAATCAACATTTATGAACTATATTAGGACGGATCGTTGCCCCAAGGTTTAGTGACGTGTTCATGATAGGGATCTACGGAGTGAGTACTAAACCGGCATAATTCAACGAATTTTCTGCGGACAGAATTTCTGAAATAAAAGAAATGACTGACGCGGGTCTGTTTAGTGGTAAGTTTGATAAATACATAGCTATTAAGTTGTCCACTGTAATATGTGACGCACCTGCTCGTTCTGCTGTTACGTACACGGTTAATCACAATGGTAAGGCAGGTTGCGACAGGTGTACTGTACTTGGGAGACGGCTTTAGGGGAAGATGACTTCTCTAAATGGTGAATATACGTTAAGAACGGAAACAGCTTTCGTCGCCAAACCCAATCTATTCACCATCAGAGCTACTCGATTCTGGAAACGCTTTCAATTAATATGATCTTAACTTTTCCTTTAGATCCTATGCACATTGTGTATTTTGGTGTCACAAAAAAGCTAGCTAATCTCTGGATATAATTCTCACATAAAAGACTGCTTAACATGAACTCATGTGCTGTTGGGGATATAAATAATTTTATATCAAGTACTCCCTCCGACTTTCAACGTGAATGCCGAACACTAGGCACTGGGGGAAGATGGACTACTAAAATTTAGGTCTTTCACTGACCCACGTAATTACTTAGAAGATCCTTTCCCATCCACTGATACAGGAATATTTATGTGCTCCGCAGTTAGCCAGGAACATACATGGGTATCGGTTAAGGACATTGACTGTAAATGTATAGCCATTTATTGTATCAATTATTTAGTTATAGTCCCATTGTTACATACTTTTAAGTGAATGTATTTTGTTTCATTTGTGCCTAATTCATGATCATAAGCCATTTCATGACCTATTATGTGAATTATAGTCTCACCGAGCGCGGTGAGACTATAATTCACGGACAACCTTTGAGCTACCACTGCTCACAAAAAAAGTTCAAATTACACCCCATATGGCAACACAACTACTATCAGTACACAAGGCCGAGTCTACAGATGACAACCTGAGCAAACATACATTCACGTCAGAACTAACATTACGATGTTTGCTGGACAACCTTGAAATCTGTCATGGTTGTCCTTGAGTAATCTCAACTATATCTAAACTGAGCTGTCAAGATTAGGAAATATTTGCCAGGATTGGAGTCTTATCACGAATTTATATGAGGTATGAATCAAGGATCTTGTGCAGACCTGCTATTCATCATACTTTTTCTTTTCCAATAACTATACAATATCTAACATTTTCGAGAATTTACCCATTCGTTTAGTCGGTCAATGCTCCATAGAAAGAGGTGATTTTCACTCAGGATTTCATTTCTGTCGTTTACAGCCATCCACATTTGCCCTTTAATGAATTGAAAACGGTAGCACATCCTATTTAGCCGGAAAAAATAGGCAAATAACGTGAAAGTTAAGGCTTGAGAAGAAATCTTCAGTTAAATTCATCTGAAATATACAGCATTCACACACTAAACAAGCGGATCATTACTGAGTATGCACATATAGTGCCCATCGTTGATAGATGAGTCACAGTGTCCTATTTTTTGTTTAGCCATATGAAGTCAATATATATTGTTGATTTCAGGTAAAGTGAAAGCCAGTGTAGGCTTTGGATGCATTTTACTAATATTTGTCATTAGTATCTGAGCTTTCTATCGGAAACAGTCTTCCGTCGCAATGTATCTAGGTTATTTAGAGATAGTGACCGTGAAGAAAGTAGTCTACATGATGCTCCTCCTTAACTTGGAATATTACCGCTTGACACTTCCGGAGACTGAATGTCAAACCATAACTGTTTGTCCATTGCAGTCTTAGTTAATGTAGTGTCTATATGAACTAATTATTCCTTAGTACTTGATGTCTGCCTGATTTCGAATTATAAATACATTACGTTCGTTGATGTCCACCTAGTTGTTCGGTCTAAATTGCGTTATTTCTGGAATTCTTAGATCGTATATTATTGTATATACTTCTACTCACCACAGTTAAGTTGTTAAGAGCAAGCCGATAACCTTCTTATAGAAACAAAACACTACATATGATATAGTCAGTCACTTTGTTATTTTGTGTAGGTATTACATCCCCTATTCTTTTGTACTGAATGGTGAAACGTTTGTGCGTTTTGAGATAATCTGAGTCGTTTAGTGGAGTCCACCATCTAATTCAAACATTGCTCTTTGTTTGACGTAGTAATCCAGAGCTTTGTTCCACTCAAGATGTTGATTTATCTGGATTACCAAGAAAACTCTGAAACGTTCCACAGACAGCTTTGGCAATAACGCTTTATTTTGTGGAATTAAGGGTTCATTGTAGTTCTTCCTCAGTGACATAATGGTATGGTAGAAATACAGTACTCCTCCATAATATTTGATCCACTTTTATATTATTCGACCAAAAACTGTTTCATTTTTAATACGAATTTATGATTTTCCGGAAAATTATTAGTATGTAAAACGCTGGTTATACTTTTTCCGGAGATTTCAGTTCTTTTACTCGGTGGAAACGATCTTTCAAATTCATGTAAAAAACAATTGGGCCAAAACAACATGTGAATTCAGTAGATCTTCTAGGTTGAAACTAATGAACAAGATATGTGACAGTGACGTTGTCTAATTGTCGCTAGATGCCAACAAGTACTTGAAAATTTACTAACATAACAAGAGACGAGAGTAAAGAAATCAGTGGGTTTACGCGAGCACATCAAGAAGAAATCGTATGTTGGTATGGACTCGTTCGACCATTCAGGCTCGGTCACTTTGTGCAGCCCATCTCTTTTCGTCCCAACCCGAACGTGTTCTTCAGAAGTACTGAACAGCAAATTACTGACTGTCATGGATTACATGTTATAATAATAATACATGTTAAATAATTGCTAGTCTTTGTGTAGTTACGTCGACTAAGAGCCATATTCGCTGGTTGTTGATGTTCTAACAAACATATTTCACTGAAACATGTAAATGCCAGTAAAGCTTATCAATGAACCATTGCAGCTAATCATAAACATAGTTGACCGGATTTTAGTATTGACTGAGCTAATTAGCTATGATTACTAATCAATATTAAAATACACGTGAGCATTAGTAGGCAGACTAACAGAAAATGGGTTCCTATAGAAAACGTCAATCGATAGAGTTAAATTGAACGAGAATTAATAATGAATAATAACTTTCGCCTAAACTTAAACGAATAATAGTTTGCGTTTCTTTAGTCGAACTCACCAATGTAGTGTAATGACCTGCTTTTATCAAGAGAACGCGATTGGTGTAATGGAAACAAGTATTATTATAACAAATTGTACCAGTGATTGTTTTTCTGTACTTGTTTGTTTAACCGTACTAAAGATATTCCTCCTTCTGTTGATTGTGACCTTGCAAGAATTCGGTTGCACTCAGTAACCACACTTGTCACTTGGCACAATCTCGGTATTCTTTAGATACCACGAGATCGCCAACAAATACATCTCGACTACAGCCGTCAATCGCCTTCTTATGTTTGTCCTACGGGGGATCTTATCGGTTAACTGGCACGTAGTCTTCCTGTAGTGGTGATCATAGTCAACGCGACTCGACACCACCCTACAGTTGAAGAAAATTCTAGCTTAGTATTAGCCTACTCAAACAACGAACCTAATCTCTAAGTTGTAGATTTTACGTGATGTGACAACCCAATTTATAAATTCCTACATGGAAGTCACATCATTGTCTACATTAACTTGTTGTATCGTGGCCATCAGCAACATGATGTACGGCAGTTATGACGAACGTATTTTGACTAAGGGTAGAATAATATATTTAGTGTGGATAGGTATGTATTATACAAGAATGGCAACGCCTAGAATGGTGATCCGTGCTATATTGATCGGTTGTTGCTGCGTTCATCATCGCTGAACTTCTCTCTATGTTAAGTGTTGAACATTAATTTTTTTCAGTTCAGCTTCGAGGATTGTGTGATTAGGACAAGTACCACTACATACTCACAAATTTGGACGACGACGCAACTAAGGCATTCTCTACAGT